GAGGCGTTGGGCACCACCACCCTCTTTTTCCCCCCCTCCCCCGAGAAGCCCCACTGCCTACCTCTAGTGTAGTGCCGGCTTCCCGTGGGGTGGACGGAAGTCCTGTCTGAAGCCCGCGTCACTTCCGGGGGTTCTGGAAGTGCGTGGGCTGCTCCCCTCCCACAGCTCTGTTGCGTACTGGGGGAGGGGGAATCGGCCCTGGAGGAGGAGTGCGGCAGTTTCCCTGCACAGCGCCAGAGGGTGAGTCGAGCACGGGTTTCCCTTCACTGCAGGAGCGGGGGTCGGCCCTGGGGCAGGCGCCCACAGGGGTTGGCCGTGCTGCAGGAGGGGGTTGGCTGTGCCGTGCTGTGAGAGAGGGCGTTTGGCCCTGGGGCAGGCACATGCAGGGTTTCCCTGCGCCGTGGGGGCGGGGAGGGGAGGGCCCAGAGGAGGCACATGCTGGCTTCCCTCTGGCGTACGGGGGGAGAATCCTGGGAGGAGGCAGATGCAGGGGACTCTCTGCTGCCACTGGAACCCCGTCCCCTGTCCGCACTCCCCGCTCCTCAGACCCCACTCCCTTTGTCCCCAGCAACAGAACTCTGTCCCCACTCCCCTGTCCCCAGCTACAGATCTGTCCCCATTCTCGTCCCCAGCTATGGAACTCTGTCCCCATTCCTGTACCCAGCTACAGAACCATAATGCCATCTAGGCAATCGTTTTACTGTCATGTCTTATGTTATCTTTAGTGTAAAATGGAGACAGTGAGAAATTATCATTGTATGGTATTAAATGGTTAGGCTTTTCTGGCTCGCAAAAGGTATAGTACCTTAATTTTAGAAAGCGTGGGATCTCCTGGGATAGATTCCAGGAATCATCAGTATCCTGTGACACCTGCCATGTTTATCTACTGTCTTAAATTCTTCCCATGGGAGAAGAAATTTTAAGGCCATTTTGGCAGCTTCCTTTATATTTAAAGTTTTGTGGAATGCTTTTTATGTTCAATGTAGTTTTTTAAAACTCATAAATGGGCTTACCATAAGTGAGATTACAGTACACTTTGAAATGCGGTTAACCTACAAGTATGTAGTTCTCTGTGATTTACAGAGTAATTACTACAATATCTCAGAAAATATATCGAAGCTTTTAAGGTGTAACCTAAGTCCATAAATCTTGTCTATAAAAGGGAATTCCAAGGTTTTTGAGAGGAAGAGATTCAATATATTTCTTTACAATAAAGAACAGATGAATGAGAAGAAGACTGTTATACCTACCATTGTTTCATCACAACCTTCAGATCAGTACTTCGATAAATATGTCACATTCTGATGAAACACTGTACAACTTCTTTCACCAGCCCTTTCCTTCCTCTTACAACTGAGATTTGCAACAAAAGATACTAGTTCTGCTGTTCATCATAGAACCTTTCAAGGTGGAAAAAGTATTTATACAGCTGTCAGCAAGCAGATCTTATTATACCTGATCTGTAGATTGCTGATAAGAAGTTCTGATAAATATAAGTCCTGATTGATGCCAAACAGTAGAACAAGGCTCTTTTCATGGTTAACATTAGGTGCAAGAATTATCTTTATACTGTTATATTTAAAGAATAGGGATTTAATTTACATCTCTTCTTAATTTAAATCTAGAAAGGAAGGTTTATCAGCTATATGCATATTTAGTGAACAGTGCGTTTATAAAGCATGAAGATATTTCCTACTTTGTAAATGTTAAAATATTTATAATAAACACACATCCAAATGTCTCTAGACAATTAGAAGGTCAGGCACAGGGACTGCTAGAGGTCATTGGATACTATATATGTTATCTTCAATCTAGCAGAGAAGGGTAAAATACTACCTAACAGCTGGAAGTTGAAATTAGATAATTTCACAATGGTGTATATATTAGACTCATAGACTTTAAGGTCAGAAGGGACCATTATGATCATCTAGTCTGACCCCCTGCACAGTGCAGGCCACAGAATCTCACCCACCCCTCCCAGAATAATCCTCTCACTTATATCTCAGATATTGAAGCCTTCAAATACTTTGAAGACCCCAAGATACAGAGAATCCTCTAGCTGTGATCTGTACCCCATGCTACAGAGGAAGGCGAAAAACCTTCATTAACTACTGGCCATTAAAATCAAGATTGGCTGTTTTTTTTCCTAAAAATACACCACTGAAATTATTTTGGAGAAGTTCTGTGGCTTGTGATAGAAGAGATTAGACAAAATGATCAAATGGGTCCCTTCTGGCCTTGGATCTAGAATCCATATGCAGACATGTATGTAAATCTTCTTTATATATAACTCATGTGGAATTTGTGGTCATTGTTTTACTTTGACTCTGATAGAGAGGCATGAGTCCTCACTTGATCATATCAACATTATTCTTATATTCACCTTAATATTTAACAGAGTGGGAATGAAAACACTTCAGCAAGAACACTGAATTGTTTAAAGAAGTGCTTAATTTTTTTTACAGAGAACAGTACCGTGCAAGAACATTTTAACCATTGAATGCACAAGATAAAAATTATTTCTTTCAAAAAGTGTGTTTTGTTCTGTACTGGACATTTCTTTTTAAAGGAGAGGTCCCAGTTCTTGCAAATCAGATATGCATGTTAATGAGCAGATAGATAGTTTATGAGCAATGAGGAGCATATCTGTGATGAAAACAAAGCCATTTCCCTTGACTGTTGATTTTTCAGAGTTTTGATAGCATCATGAACTAAACTGAGAAGAGCCTTCAATAACGATTAGAAGTGTGTGATGTCCACAAGGGTCTAATATAAAACATCTAATACAAGTAAATTGGCCTCAGATCAAGGGTTTATCCTTTATATTATATACATATACCTACCTAATGTTTATTTTGTGTACTCTTTTGTCTTAATTTCTGCACTTGTTTACATGTGCTGGCAAAATAAATAAATGATGGGGAGAAAAGGTTACTTTCAAGCTGAAAACTTTTTCTTTCTTTTAATAATTTTGAGATTCATGTTGAATGTTTCATCTGTTAGTTATTTTTCTAAACTTGTTTTTCTTTCGATAAATTCAGATCATAAAGGCTATTGCTTTCACTTCATACACAGATTAGGATGTTGTGCAATAAGCAAAGGGTGTCTAGCCAAATTCTCCAACCTAGTGAATACAAAACATTTCAAAACTTGTGGAGAGAAAAAAAGAATAAGTATGTATATTGTATCTGTGGTTGGAAGAAGTACCTTTTAGATTTAATTTTAAAGGAATCCATTTTGTATGTTGAATATAAATGTGAAGTGTGTGATCAGCATCAAATATTTTCCCCAAATTTGTAATTCAGAATAATGTCTGTGACATATTATTGTGTTTTGATCTTGACCATGTGGCTGATTATGACAAACGCTTTTTTCCCTGGGGTCTAGATTTAGCCTCATTCCAAGTAGCCTTTGGTATTAAAGAGAAAGGAGAGGATGGATAGGGAAGTTCTATCTCTTCTTTGATCACTCTCATGGCATTTAAACTTTGATTTAAAATAAAACGTTCTGGTCCTTGTGGTTGTGAGGAAAAGCTTTTAAATGAAAGCCAAGTGTCTACTAGTTAGTAGAGGGATAGCCTGAAATAATAGCTCTGAGACGTTATTGCCAATTCAGCCCTATGCAGGCCGAAGTCATCTGATAATTTAAATAGGTCAATGAAGCATTTGAGTAACTAATTTGCATGTCCACTGTTGTCACATAGATGTTTGAGAATAATACCTGTTATGTCATCTGATCTATAGGAATATTTTTATAATGTATTCTCCAATGCTTTGACCATTTTTAAATGTTCAAAATAGTCTTTTCCATCCAAGGACACTTCTCCCATTTAGCAATATGAAAAGGACACCTGTTCTTGAGCATCCTTGAGAATCCCTGTCCTAAGTGAATTGATTTCCATAGCTTTTATAGTCAAATAGACTCCCTATTTGGAATTTTCTCACAATTCTCTCCTTCTCCCTGTCCTGTGCCTTTTTCCTTTGACTTTCATTTGAGAGCTCCACATAAGCTGCTAGAGAAGGAAAATGGAGGATGAAGGGCATTAACTATGTGGCAAATGAAAGTTGGTTAGAGTTCTATCAATTTGTTCCTTACCCTACTTCCCCTTGGTTTAATTCCTCTTCCTCATCTACAACTGGCTCTTACTGTCATGCCCATAATCTGTACTCACTGCAGTCAATGATGTTGGTATCTGTGATTTTGAAGGAACTGTGGTGTTGCAGTCAATCTATACATGTATGAAAGCCTTATTTTTTTCCTTTATATAGAAACCATTCAAAATAAATAGACAATTAATATGCCTATCACAACATGAAGTGTTCTTCATCCAGTGCAGCAAATGCACCAACAACTACTGTATTGATAAAAGAAGAAAATTAAACCACTTTCAAGATTAATTGACATAGAAAATTGATAAAAGGCAAAGATACCTTATTAATGGAGAGGGAACACTTTTCACAAAACAGTCACTCTGTATCTAATCTTATCCTCAAAGGAGACCTGCACAATACCTTCAAATGTTGATCCTGCAAGCTTAAATTCATAATTTTTAGACCTAAAAAATCATGGACTGAATAGAGACATTGGATTTATGTGTCATTACAACATAATGCACTTGCCATCTTTTGTCCTCTAACGGCAAAGATATTAATTGATCACATCATTTTGTGGCCCTCTGATTACCTTTCCCAGACTTAAAGAAGAATGCTGTGATGCTCATAGGCTTGTCACTTTCACCCAACCGAGGTCAGTCCAATAAAAGATATTGCCTCACTCACTTCATGTGTCTTATAACCAAAGACCAGCATGATTACAACACTGCAAACACTAACCTTAATAGAAATTGTGGGTGCCAAGCATCTCACCATCAGAACCTTGCTTCTCCTGACTATCCAGAAGGTATCTGGTTTGCATCATGTGAGATTCATTCTCATCTCTGTGAACTTGAGATATACTGGAGATTAAATTAATGATATAAAACAATGTTTTTGATGTTGCAGATTGACCAGTTGAAACAGGAACTTTCAAAGAAAGAATCAGAACTTCTTGCCTTACAAACTAAGCTTGAAACCCTTAGCAATCAGAATTCAGATTGCAAGCAACACATTGAAGTGCTTAAAGAGTCGCTTACTGCCAAAGAACAGAGAGCTGCCATACTTCAGACAGAGGTAAGCTATTTTCTCATCATACAATACACTATAAATGTTTAGTTAATTGTGTGTGTCAGGATTAAAATGATGTATTAGTTGCAGAAGATGAATCCTGGGCTTTTTTTTCCAATTTGTTAAAAAGAATATAACAGTTTAAATCTTGCCATGTGCTAATACAGTTGGCATATTTTACTTTTTACATATTTTCGTTTTTACAGTATGTTAGCTCTGATTCTGCAGTTTTTGAAAAGAACCTAATGACTTCTTCAATAGCAGTCTTGTATCTGTTAGTGCAGACCGTCCTTGCTATAAGTTCAAGATACGTTAAAAAAAACTTGGACTTATAGCAAAACAACTTAAAGTGAGGAATTTTTTTCCCGCGGCTGACTTCCATTTGTGAAAATTGGGGGTTTTTTGTACGACTTAAGAGCAAGGAATGGGAGGACTTATAACACATCAGTTCCTACTAGCATCAACGATTCTCATGCAGAACAGATGAACACTGGGGCAACTGATAGCTGGGACACCCTGTACTGTACGATCGGACCTATGTATGTAGTATGTAGCTATAGTAGCTATAGCTGAGATTTCCCTTTTCTTTAGTGGAATATAAATATATATATACTGGATTTATTTCTTCTTAATATTTTCACTCCTAATTTCAAATTGTCATAAAATAGCTTGGTGAGTTAGATCTGATACTCGGTTTTATGTCTTCTATTATACATTTCAATTCTAAGAAGAACAGTAGTTTGTGTTTTAAAGGGTGCGTGTGTGTGTTTCTGTGTATGTGTATAATATGAGTGCAGGTTATTGGTGTGTGAAGCCTTTGTTTCTTAGAAAATAAGCTTTGATTTTCAAATGTGAATAGATTGTTAATCCTTAATATAAGACAGTATGTCAGGGGTTTTTTTTTTTTAGCCTGTAATGCCTAAGTACGGAGCTTGAAAATATGCTGCCACGCTCAATATTTAAATATTGTTTATGCAGCTATGATTAAATAAACTATTTCAATGTAAAAATTTGTCTTCTTCACTAGCTCCTTTTGCATGACTGCTTTTTACAGTGGAAGTATGAAGCATAAAATAAGAATGAAACGTATTTATATGTTGACCATTTTTTTAGTAAGTTTTGAATTGCTATGCATTTTAAAAACATGAGAAGTTAGGCCATGCCTTTGTAAAAGAAAAATAAACTCTTTACATTCAGAAAAATATACTAATATATATGAGCTGGTTTCTTGCATGATAGTTGAAGCTGTAATCCTAGCTAAAGGAATTCTAGGGACAAAATATCATTTTAGTTCATCATGTTCATGAGGAAGTTAGACGGTATTAATCTCTGTTTATCAAGTAAATATTCTGATGTTTTGGATGTCTGTTGAACTGCATGTTCCATGATCTATCCTCTCATATGCAGTTAATGTGCAAAAAATTTTTTGAGATTGCAAATATGCCTTCATCAGTCAAATAAAATACAAAGAAACAAACTCTTGATAGAACACGATTAAAGATTGAAGTAGGCAACAGACTAGTTCAGAAAGAGCCACAGAACCTAAAGAAGACTCAGCAAAATAGTAAATATCTCCTTTGACTCTTGTGTTCAAGACAGTGATCCAGGAGCACTTTGTTTCCCATAACAATTTGGGGACAAGCTGGCTTGATTTTACAATGTTTGAGACTCTATTACAACGGACAAATGGGTATTAAACACTGTCCAAGAGAATTATAGGAACCTTGAGAGGTAATCAAGTCCAGTCCCCTGCACCCATAGCAGGGGTCAAGCACCATTTAGATCAGTGTTTGTTAAATTGTGTTCCATGGCATATCGGTGTGCTGCGAGACAGTTGGAGGTGTGCCACGGAGAACAACAGAATTCAAAATGGCCGCTTTTTTTTTTTTTTTTTGCTCAATAACTTTCCCCTGACCTTTTTTTTTCCCTGCCACAACAAAAAATCCTTGGTGTTCTTCATAAAAAAATTGTTTGGTGTTCCTCAGTCTTAAAAAGCTTAAGGAACACTGATTTAGATTATTCCTGACAGGTCTAACCTCCCTAGGCAATTTATTCCAGTGCTTAACCACTCTTAACAGGAAGTTTTCCTAATGTCCAACCTAAACCTCCCTTGCTGCCATTTAAGCCCATTGCTTCTTGTGTTATTAAAGGTTAAGAAGAAGAATTTTTCTCTTTTCTCCTTATAACATTTTAGATATTTTACAGTAGTTATGTCTCCTCTCAATCTTCTCTTGGAACATGATAATAAAGCAATCCCAATTTTTCAATCTTCCCTGATAGGTGATGTTGTCTAGTGACCCTTAGTCATTTTTGTTGCTTTTCACTGGACATTCTCCAATTTGCCCACATCTTTCCTGAAATGTGGAGCCCGGAACTAGACATGACACTCCAGCTGAGGCCTAATCAGAATGGAGTAAAGCAGAAGATTTATTTGTCTTACAACAATCCTGTTAATATATCCGGGAATGGTGTTCCTCTTTATTTGTTAAAATCAAATCTAGAACAGCCTCCTCTTAGCTGCTTTCTTCATCCTCTGAAATAAAAAAATTGTCCCCAATACTTTAAAAAAAATCTTTGATAATCTGTGCGTTGCTGTAGTATTTTCCCAACAGATGTCTGAATAATTGAAGTCCCCCAATGCCACCAAGTCCTATGCATGCTTTGTTAGTTGTTTTTCTGCTTGTTAGGGTTATGCCACACAGTTACTTTCTATCCCTCCTTTCCCCCCCTCCTCCATCCCACATTGCTTTTCAGAGAATCCTTTCATGAGATACTTCTCTTTTAGCAGGTTTAGTCTCTACAGGCATTTCAGGCTGTAGAGGAAGTAATCATGAAGCACTAAGGACAGAGATGCAAACTCCCAGTATTTTCTACCTTCCAAGCCCTTGGGAGGTTTGAGCCCTGTCCTCAGTATCTGTGAGTTCAACATATATGTCTGATAGTCATCGTGGCAACTATACTTCCTGCCTTAAATAACCATGACTGGTTTGTTGCCCTGTACCTTCAGGATGCTTATTTTCTTATAACAATTCTCTCAAATTACAAGAGATTTCTTGAGTTTGTTGTGGTGGAACAACACTAACTGTATGCTGAGCTGCCCTTTGGCCAGTCTTTCACCCCTTGTGTCTTTATTAAAAGGATGGGCATGATAACAGCATACTTCAGGAAGAGAGTTCATATCTTTCATTATCTGAATGATTGGTTATTGAGAGGCAAGTCAGAGAGGATGTCCCCTGTCAGGTTTAGTTCACACTCTGCTACTCAATTAACCATGTCTCATCTTAAACATCTTGGAACATCTTTTGTTCCAACTCAAAGAATCAAGCTCATTGGCCCCAGTTAGGTCCTACGAATTTGAGAGCATTTCTGCTGACCAAACACTTCAAGACAATTTGTCACTTATCTCTGGAGCTGAAGATCCAGCTCCCAACCGCAGCCTGAGTATGCCTGAAGTGCTAGCCCATATACATAGGTAATCCAATATGCTAGTCTGTGACTTTATCCTCTTAAAATGTGACTGAAGTTAGTCTGTCATCTGTACTGTTGTTCCTTGGACAGACTGATCAATCTTCCACTGCAAGTCATGGATTTCTTCCAGGTGTGGATGGTTCAGGGAGGTGCCATGGCATTCCTTTCTTGGTCACCACCACTGGAACTATTGTCATTGATGCCCACTTATTAATGTGGGAACTGCATTTGGAACTGAAGGTTCAAGATCTGTGGTCAGGACGGGAAGCTTCTCTACATATCAATGTCCTGGAGCTTTATGCTATCTACAATGTTTGTCAGACTTTTTAAGATCTCATCAGGGGCTCAAGCTCATCTGAAAAAGTGGATTTTGCATATGAATCCTCATGATGCTATCTGTATCTGTATATTTAAAAAACAATGAATGGTCCTGCAGCACCTTAGAGACTAACAAAAAAAAGTAGATAGCATCATCAGTTTTCATGGCCGTGAAAGCTCATGATACTGTGTACATTTTTTTTTGTTAATCTCTAAGATGCTGCAGGACCATTCATTGTTCTTAAGTTTTTTTTATTTGCAGACTAACACGGCTACCCCCTGAAACTTATTTATTTGTTAGCCTGTAAAGTGCCACAGGTGTACTTGTTGTTTCCCTTTAATATGACAGCATAGCAGAGGCTACACTCTCTTGAAGGGTACAAGCTCATTTCACAGAGCTCAGGTCATGTCAGTAACGTTTTAAATGACATTCCTATATTACACATTTGCATGGTGACCACTTGGTCCTCTGTGTTTATTTCTGCAAACTATTGTGCTATTAAGGCTGCATCCAGATTAGAAAAAAACTTGGGAAAACAGTCATACAATCCTCCTTTAAATAGTCTCTGAACTCCATGTCCTGTGAGTACTGCCTGGAAATCACTAACATAAAATATTCAGCTGCATTTACTCAAAGAACAATTGGTTATGTACAGTAAACTTCCGATAATCTGGCACCTTTAGGACCCAGGGGGTGCCGGATTATCAGATATGCCGGACTATTGGAAGGGGGGGCTATGAGGGGTGTAGGGTGGGAAGGATTGGGGGAGTGGTGCTGCGGGACCAACCCGGCAGCACCCCAGCTGCTCTGCCCCAGACTTCCCCAAGTCAACCGCTGCTGAAACTGACCAGCAGCTGACTCGGGGAAGCCTGGGGCAGAGCAGCTCCAACTGTCCAGCTGCCTGGAGCACTTCTGGGTTCCAGGTGGTGCCGGACTAGCAGGAGTGCCGGACCACTGGATGCTGGACAACTGGAATTTTACTGTACTTCTGTTTTTTTGAGACGTGATAGAGATTGGTATTCCATAACCTGCCCCCTCTCTATTCTGCACTGGAGTCTGAACTTATGACATATGGTGTGAAGGAAATGAGGGTCAGTGCAGTGCCACCTTTGTATGACCATAGGAGGGGCTAAACCTACAGAGCATGAGTTCTGCCTCTTTACGTCCAGCCAGGCAAAATTCTGGCTCCACTGCATGCCCCCTCCTCACACAGAATACA